TAATGTTTTTTATTTACTTGTATAAACAGATTTATATTTAAAAATACTTCAGTACTGTATAGCATTAAAATTTAATATTAGCAAGGCTAGGTATTAGTACAAAAATATCAAACAAAATTTAAGATTTACATGTACATGTACATGTACATGTACATGTATAATACATTTCACTTATTATAAGATACATGTATGTACTAAATGTAATCTCAATATTAGTACATGTACTACAGCAAAGATGTATATATACATGTACATGTACAGTAATGAATGGGAACATTATCATGTACATGTACATGTACAATGGTGACTACATGTACATGTAAATATATATATACTATATTCTATGTAGTCTAGTGTTAACACAGTATAGTGGTTTTTTTGATAATGACAAAAATGTAAAATTTCATGGATTTTTTAAGAATCGTGAAATTAAATTCCTTGAAAATCAATTTAATACAGTAAAAGATGGCAGAATAGTGAAAACTCGTGAAAATTATTTCTGTAAACCTCCTGATATAGGTCATTCGCAAAAATTATTATCCTCAAAAAACCCGCTATACAGTAATTAATTAGATGTATGTACCCTACCAGTGATCAGAAGGATAGTTCAGTAATATCCCGTCCTGTACTAGAGTATTGGAACCGCCCCCGTCTAGATTAATAGCATTGACCACACCTCTTTTAATTAATACGTCGGCAAACTCGTAAAGATTTGCACTAAAAATGTAAAAATAAATAAAATAATAATTAATATTTTCTCAATAATAAAATTTACTATTGGCCACTAGTTGGTCCAATTACTATTAACACTAAATGCACTGCCAATGGATACACTAATATAATCAATAGTTCACTACGAGTTCTATTGGTAATACCAAATGCACTCTAGGTAATACAGTATTAACACAGTATTAATGCGTTTATGATCAATGATCAGTGCTTAGCTAATCCAGTTATAATGCAATCCTAACACAAAATTAACACAGTTTTAAGTAAGCCCTTTAGTATAGTGTAAATGTACATGTACATACAAAATCTTAACACAATCTTAACACAGTACTTATACACATACAAGTACAATATTAACACAGTCTTAACACAGTATTAACTCACCCTCTAACATGAGTCTGTCCCTCAACACGTGCTAGTACGACTCTTCCTTTATCATCATGACCAATAGCTGATCTTGCTGATATCACATTAACAAAAGTATCCATTGGTCCTGTGTCTTCATGATCTGAACACTCCATCACCTTGCTTTCATTAACATAATTAGTACCATTTCTTACTAGCCATATAACACCTGCAACAATAAATAAATAAATAATAATAATAATAAATAAATAAATAATAATCATAATGATACTAAATAATAAAGAATAACATAATAATAATGATAATAATAATAATAAGTGATAAATATTGATATTAGTAATATGGATACTGATACTTAAATAATCAACAATTACAATATTAATAATTAATAAGACAAGACAAGATAAAGTTTATCCTCTTTCATGTTGTCCTCTCTTAATCACTCAACGTCTCTCTCTCTCCCTCCCTCTCTCTCTCTCTCCCTCCCTCACCTGTAACCAGTTGTCTAAATGGGTTAGTCTGGTTATGCAGCTCCTCCTCCGGTATATACCCGACTACAATACTCCCGTCCTCCTTTATACCAAAGTTAGCATTTTGAACTCCGTTAGCTGATTTAACCAGTCGACCATCAGACACAATATTACCCAGACAGTTACCATTAGACACGGTAAAATACCCGCCATTTGCTGCTAAACGGCAGCCATGTTTATAATTAGCAGCTGTATCAAGGACGGTTGCTTTGGTAGTATAATACGAGTTCTGATGACAAGTTCCTTTTCTTGAAGGCTCTAAAACTGATAGCGTAAAATAAGGATCTTCAATAAAAGTAATAGTACCGACTGCATAGCGTTTTCGTAATGGAGTTCTAGCCACAACGTCTGCATATTTATGCATTTTAAATTTAAGTTTTCCATCACCACTCGGAGGAGTCGTTAAAACCTTGAAAGTCTCTACTGTTCGATTTTCCCATCTCGTGTGCTGACAGGAGCTTATTTCACGTGTTGTTCTAGTACCACCATGTCTCCCCTCGGGGTAGGGGGTCAGTATATCCCCGGGAAATGGGTCGAATTGATTGTTAGAATGATCCAGCGAGTTAGCGACAGTTAGGGAAAGGATTGCTAAAGGTAGGAGCGAGTATTGAAGAGGCCAGCGCCTTCTTCTCCTCGAGTAAGGAAGAATATGGCGTAGGAGAGAGGCTGACATTGCTCTCTCTTCTTCTTTAGGAAGAGCAAAATGCCAACTCTCTCTGTGACAATGCAAAAGAGCAGGTCTTGCAGTGTGGGTGTGGTATGGGCGGGTTAACAACTTGACCACGCCTTAATTAATTGCTGGTTTAGCATTATAATAAATTTGTGCAAAAAAAGTTTGCTTTTAAAATAAATAAATAAATAATAGTACATTTATAAATACTGTGAAAATAATATAAGCTACTAATTTCTGAAACTTCTATGCTAGAGTTACTAATATAGTACTGCTGCTATATTGAAGATTATTAATACACTAGACTACTACTATAGTGAGCCTATTCTAATGTTTCATCTTCAGTTAATTTCAGCTCATAGCCATTTTTGTTTATCACACTTTTTACCGGCCCATTCCTAGAGAAAGAGAGAGGAGAGGGTACAGACAATAGACAAGAGAGAGAGAGAGATTAACAATGAAAGTAATTCTTAATAATAGTCACTGAAACTTGGCAGTCAAAATAATGATAGTACCAAAGAATATCATCATTACTACACATTACAATTCACTGATACTATTACTTAATATTACTATTACAATTATATGCTACTACAATACATGTACTACATAATATTGACATGTAGATCTGCAATTATTATTATTATCATTGTTGTTGTTGTTGTTGTTATTATTATTATTATTTTATTAGTACCTCATCACAAGTGCAGAATCCATCAATACGTGAGCAGGTACCATGAACACAAGAACACCTAAACACATTATACACATACACACAGTACAACATGTTCAGAATAATAATAGTATGACATATGTACATTATAATGGACAGCATTTATACATATGAAATGTAAACAATATCTTCAATAATATTTATACTTACTTCTGAGCACAGTTAACACCATAATGGTTACCATCACAGACTATAATATGATAAAATAAATATTATTTAATTTATTTTATTTTGTTGTACTTTTATTGCATTTTTCTCCAGCAAAGCCTGGATAGCACACACATTGGCCAGTGACGTGATGACAGAAACTTTTATTGAGGACACAATAATTACAAACTGACTTGCAACCTAAACCATATCTGTTACGTGAACAAGCTAAGAGAGAGAGAGAGGAGAAGTGATATAAAATTCCAGTAAAATATGTCTCTTACGTTGTTCACAAAGTTTTCCATACCATCCTGCTTCACAAGTACATTTACCTACAGAAAACAAAGAGAGAGAGAGAGAGAGAAAGATACTCTATCATAGAATAACACTTAACTT